ATGCTGTGTCTCTCTCGAGCGGGATGCTCAGTGGTTGAATTTTACACGTCCTTCTCCGGAGTGTCTTCTTTCTTGCCTCGCCGGGTCACGAGAAGGTTCTCCGGTTTGAATGATGGGGGGCCTCTCCAGATGAGGCTGTTTCTCTTTTGGCCGGGGAGATTGGCTTCGAGAGATCTCCCTGTAATGTCTCCGCGGGGGAGATGGATGTCGAGCTTCAGTCACTCGAGGAGGGAGAGTATGAGGTCTCCGATGCCTCCTCGGGGGTCTTCGCTCGTCTTCAAGCGCCCTCAGTCTCTCTCCTTGGGCGAAGATGAGATAGTTCGTTTGATTAATCGCTGCGAACAGCGCTTGAGTTGTGGCATCCGCCCCGGCGGGGATAGGGACTTCCTGGAACCGGGCAGCTCTGTAGTGTGCGAGGGCCGCCGGGTCGTCTTCGAGTGGTGGAGGGACCGAGGAAGATGATGCAGTAGCTCCTTCCCTGTAGCTGGAAGTTCCGGGGGCGGTTGTCGCAGGAATGGTGTTGTGGCCGAGGTTGTCTGCGTTATCAAGGTGTCCGTTTTTGTCTGCGGTGCCGTTATTAGTGTCGACGACACGGACGTTCTGCTCATCGCGAGCTTGATCAGCCATGACAACGGTAGTTGAATTTGAGCTTTGGTCTTTGAGTTTTGTAAGACGGGGAAGCTAGTTTCCCACAGACGGCGCCACTAATCTGACCTGATCAGACTTGGACCGTCACGGCTTGCTCCGAGCTGAAGTTTGAACGAAGTGGAGGGGGTATCTACAAGGCACTCTGATGCTGAAGTAAGTAAGAGTACGAGCAGGCAAAGTGATTATATGTGATAGAATGAATACCTCACCCTCTGGAAACAGAGGGTATTTATAGCCCCCAGCGTTGGGCCAAGGTTCCTTCATTGGGCCGGGCAGGTTTGGCCCAATGGAGGAACTGTCAGGTTCTACGTGCGTAGTGGGGACCCGCACGTGGTCCTCTTCCTGGATATCCTGCGTGAAGTGCGGGCGGACAAGGACGCGGTCTTTTCGGGGCCCCGTTGAGAGTGCAATGGACCGTGTCCGCTGCTGAAGAAGTGCTCGAGCTGAGGTCGAGCTGGATAGCACGAGGACGGGGATGTCGCCCAGAGACATATGTCGGACATAGCTATGGTCCTTAGGTCGGCGTGACCCCTAGCAACAGCGTTTGGATTGGGCCTTTATCGTTGCTCTTGGGCCAGCCCGGCCCAGTCCAGAACAAAATATATATATATATATATATATATATATATATATATATATATATATATATATATATATATATATATATATATATATATATATATATATATATATATATATATATATTTCTAATAAATCTTTATTACATACATACAATTAAATATGTATTTTTAGTGGTATAAAAATATATTTATATTATTTTATATCTAAATTATTTTTAAATAATATTATATTTTTATACTGAAAAATTAAACTTAAAATATAAATTAATGTCACATTTTTCTAATCATATCTTCTTAAATTTGAATAATTTAAAAAATAATGACGTTAAAGAATTTTAATTATAAAAATAATATATTGCTTCACAATATATACTTACAGAGAAAAAAATATCAAGACTAAAAAATATCTATTTACTTTAAAACACTAAAAAATATGACTAACTTTAAATAACAATTTTCTTACCTCTCTTCTTACCCAATCCAATTCCAAATATTCCATGCATATTCTTGATACCAATAAATTTATTTTAAAATAGATATTCCAAAATGATTTATAATTAATCTGAATTAAATATATAAAGTGAATGATTTAAATCGATAAAATTTTATATTATTTTCAAAAAATAAAGTTCACTTTAAAAATAAGTTTCTTATTGATAAATATTAAAAAATTATATTTTTCTAGAAAATATTAATAAGAATAATATTATTTATTTTATTTTATTAGCAAAATTGTGATTTGTTTAAAATTGAATGTAATTATTATTATAATTTAAATAATATTTTCTTACTAAAAAATATTAAAAATCATGTATTTTTATGAAATATTAATAAAAATCACGTATTTTTAATAACATTAAACATAGTATTTGAAAAAACCACAATTACCTTTCTTACTATATATTATAATTTTTTGATTTCGAAGTTAAATATTTAGTTTATCAGAATAAAAAAATGATTTTTAATTATTTAGATTCTTATTTGAAATAAAATATATTTTGAAAGTATTTAGATTCTTATAGAAAGGTTAATAAAACAAAATAAAATTAATTAAAAATTTTTAATTTTTTTTTAATTTATGAAATAACTAATCTATTTAAATTAACTTTATAATTGTAATTATGATAAAAAATATTAAATGATAGTCATGAAAATTTAATAATAAATGATAATCTTAAAAAGTTAATGATAATAGATAAAAATTTATTGATACAATTATTTTTATAAATTGAATAAGTTACAGTTATTTTATAAACGGAAATAAGTTACACATAATTTTATAAACGTAATAAATTCAATTATTTATATAAATGAGAATAAGTTATATATGTTTTTATAAATGGACACACGAGTTTAAAGCACTTATAAACAAGATAAATTCTACTTGTTGATATAATTATTCGTAGAAACAAAAATAAATTACAATAATTTTTATAAACAGTAATAAGTTACAAATATTTTTATAAATGAAAAAAAATCCAACGATTAATACAATTGTTTTTAACATGAATAAGTTAAATGTTTTTATAAATTATCGCACAAGTTCAACACACTTATAAACGGAAAAATATTTATATATTGATATAATTAATTTTACAAATAAAAATAAATTAAATAATTTTTATAAACAAAAATAAATTATAAATACTTTTATAAACGGAAAAAATTCAACTATTGATACAATTACTTTTATAAACGAGAATAAATTTCAAATATTCTTTATAAATGAACACGTCTGAGACGCTTATAAATGAGAAAAGGTCTATTTATTAGAATAGTTATTTTTATAAATGGAGATAAGTTACAAATTAGTTTTAAAAACAAGAAATTTAAATTTGATAAATTATTATATATCGTAACTATATGAATGTTAACCAACTAAATACATGAAATAGATTCACATATAGATGTAAATGTATCTATGAGATAGCAGTTGCAGACTGTTTATTTTAATGTCCGTCTTATACAAAATTAATTATACGATTTATTTTAAATACGGATCAATAATTAAAAGTTAATGTATATTATTAATCTATATTTTATAATTTTATGAATATTAACTAATTGAAGTAAGAATTTTAAATTTTATAAATGAATGTTTAGTATATATATAATATAAATCTAGAGAGCGTATGTAGAATAACACGGATTTCTTTATAGCTTAAACTATAAATCTAAAGATGTGTAAAACACGTCAATTTTAAGTTTGGATCATAAAATGTTACACAGTTTGATATACAACTTTAAAATAATAATGTGAAAATTATATTCTCAATATTTGATTCCTATTGTTTTTCAATAATATATGATTGTAATATATGATTGTATACATGTAAAATACTTGTAAGAAATATGATAGAGGGGTCTCAATTTAATTTCATCTCATCTTTGCAATCCTATTTTTTTCTCTTTCAATTTAGACATAAGGAAGGGCTTGTCTTATTCCATCGTAAAATATTTCAAACAATAAAATAGAATCTCAATTTCTATTCCGTTCAAGATATTCAAACATCTCAATAGAATCTCAATATCTACAAAACTCGTCGTTTTAATATATTCAAACATCTTCTCTTCGAAGCCGTTTACTCTCCAAAACTTAAAATGCCACATAGATGCTCTTATAACATCTTTTTCACAAAACATGAGTGGGACACTTATAATATCTCTTTACTCACTTGGGCTATAAATTTGTATTAATTTGTAATCTTTTAATTAAAGTTGTTAGTAATATTTTAATAAAAATAGGTTAGATTGTTAAAAGAACTCCCTCAAGCATGCACGAGACATTTATCAAAATACTTATCTCATGTCATCTCTCCTTTATGATGCACTACACAATCCCCTAATAGAATTCCAATACTAAATGACTTTCTAAAATTTGCATGGCGAAGTATAATAAGTTATGTTCTAGAATCTAACCTTTAGACTTATATTAATTATCATTTTAACTGTTCTACCTAGTGAAAGAAATACCGTATTTAAACATTGACCTTATCTAAAGTGTCTCTTTAGCTGTGTCATATTCCACCATCCAAACTAGATAGTGTTCTTGTAAGTGTGTTTATAATTGGATTTTGTTGGTGCTCCACTAGTCTAGGTGGAGAAGGTTTGTACCAGAATTTTTTTTTATTTGCTCCACTTACATGCCAATAATGGACTCCTTGAGTGTATTCTTCACTATTAACAGTTCATAAAACGTCAACAGAGCAAGGGCAGGGTGTACTCTTGTTGATGTGAGGTGAGCCGGAGTGGGGATATCCCTAAAAGCAATAGATATGCATGGAAGAAAAGAATCAAACCTAACTTTAAAATACAGAGATGAAATTGTAAACAAAGGATAGAAAAGGAGGAGAGAGACATGTTGGATCAAAACACCAAATAATACAAGTGGGGTGAGGGGTCCTTCTCATGTCATGAATCAAAAAATTGAATAGAAAGATAGAGACTCTTGATCACCCAACATGAATATGCACAGTAGGTGTCAACTTCAAAGGTTAGATATTTATTAAATAGACATTTGTTTAAACTAGAAAAGAAAAACCTAAAAATCATGTTGGTGTACACAATAAACTACATGCTGGCAGCCAAACAAAAGGCTGCACTAGATTATGGCAAATACATGTTTTTGATATCTTCAGATTGGAGGGGTGTTAAGAATTAAGAATAAGATACAGCCAATTATTCTACACAACTTAAAGTGTACATGAGAATTACAATATGCATTGCTAAATACCTAACCACCAAGCAGTAATGTCTAATCCACAATCAGACTTAGGTCTCCTGGCCGGTAGATCGGCCTTCGTCTTTCTCGGCCTCTTCTTCATCATCATCGTCTTCATCATCATCTGCTTCTTCAGCTAGTTTTGTCAGCTCCTCCTGAATCATGAGCTTGATAGCTGCCTTCTTTGGGTTGAGATCCACATCAAATTGTTTAGCTGGAAAATGATGAGCAATTTTGTTAGTTTTGTGCTCAAAGCTTATCCAAACATCCTCAAAAGGATTGAGGTACGGACCAACACTAAATGAGAGCATCTCTCCCAACTTAGATTTAAACCCGATTCGTCTTATTGTGGGAGATTAGCCTCAAGCTAGACCCAACCCGTTTAGTCAAAATGTTTTCACAATATATAAAAATAAACCCCAAATTGTCCCACCTCTTTAAACCCCAACTTAAATCCTACATAATCTTTCATAAAAATTTAAGAGATTTGAGAACCTTTAAACTATTTAACATCTCAAATCCATCATAAACTTTTAAATGTTTGGGTGAAAAAACTGTAGTTTTGAATATTTCCAATAGAGGGGACCAAATTCAAGAATTTAATAAAAAGTACCAAGGACCAAAATTGCATACTAATGATATCAAAGAAAGTAAAAGTGTAGTTCAGCCTAAAACTGAATATCCTAGATTGTTAAGGGAAAGAGCTACTGTAAATTATGCTCTTCAGATTCAAGGATAACCAGACACTAGAAAATGCAAAAACCAAAAAAGACAGAAGTGTTTTGGTCTTGAAGGCACAAATGTTACACTATTTCATAGTTTTAACTGAAAAAGGTATAACTATTAATACTGTTGAAAAAAGGAAGTTAAAAGAGAGTAGAAAACTTACCGAGTAGCTTCAGAATGTCAGTAAATGTGGCCTGCAAAAGAGAAAAGGACTATTAGTTTTGGAAAACATAAATGTTCAAGAGAGTACCGAGTTGTTCAATCTATCAACAACAACGCACAAAGAAATATTCAATATTACATCCAATTTTGTTTTATAAATTCAACCAATGTGAAAGGAATCATATAGCCGCCAAAAATAACACAAGGTTAGCATGTAGCAAAACTGCTGGCTACACTCCAGCCTATAAGAAATATGCTGCACATTTAATCATCCAATTTGCTAATTTTAAGAAACTATGTCCATAATTAAACCCTCAATTATTTACGTTTTACTGAGTCCTGCTATGATATATCCATACTTAAATTGATTGAATATAAATAAATATCTTCTATAGTTCTAGTAATGTTGACAAAGAAAAGGCAAAGATATATCAAGCTGTGCTTTTTTGTCAAGCTGTCAAGGAAAATTTACAGCATCCCGGTCAATAAAGGTACATTATGAAGAACCGTGCGACTAAAAATAGTTAATAAATCAAACGTAAAAAATCGATAAACAGAAAGTAACATTTAATTACAATATCTTACCGTATTGAAGTCAACTTCTTTAAGAATTTCACATATTGCATCGCGCAACTGATTATCACTGGGACTTGAGGACTTCTCTTTCTTCTTGCCTTTTCCCTTGGCAACCTTTTCTGCTTTTAGTGCATGCAGTAAAGATGATTACTTATAGAACATATTATCAGTTTTTCAATTAAAAACATTTAAATTTTTACTAATGGAAAAGGAAAAATTAAACATGCCGCGTTGTTGACTAACAGTTAAAATGCTTCATTTCAGCTGAAAGTTATTATTCTCAACCAAAACACAATAGGCATGCAATTCCGAACGGTGATAAATGACATAATGACAACAAGGGAGGAGAGCTCACGGCATATACCAGTTTTCTCTTTGGACTTTGATGAAGACTTAGTTGGAGTTGAAGTTGATATCTTCTGCTTTCCCCCTTGCTCATTTTTCTTCTTCCTAGAAAATACCTTTGGACTTTCATCAATATCATCATCAGACTTTGGTTGGGTATTTGATGATTTCTTAGGTGCTCTCTTAGGTGGTGAGCGAGATTTATTTGTGACCATAGTTTTCTCGATTTTGCTTCTTCCAGAGGACTCTTTCTTCGCAGATGATGATTTAGAATGTTTCCTCTTTTTTTTCACATCATCAGATTCACTACCAGAATCGCTTTTATCTTCCCTTTCAAATTTCTCTGCCGTTTCATCTTCAGATTTCTCAGGAATGTCATTGTCAGTTTCATCCTCATTTTCTTCATTTTTCTCCTCTCCCTCTGATTCATCTTCTGTGTCAGTTGTGCTCTTTTTCTCCACTCCTGAAGAACTTTCAGTTTTCTTCTGCCTCTGAAAAATATACAGCCAAAAGTTAAGAAATAAGAAGCCCACAATAAAAACAACTAAAACATCATACATTGCATAAATTGATATTTTATTTTGTACAAAATATAATGGCATACAAACAAATAATATCAATTTCTATTGATGATCAGATTACGAGTTGGTACATTATTTTGCCGATTCAAAAATTTTTTTGGGTAAATGGCAAAACTGATATTTGAACTGAGAAACTCATGTAAGCCACCCAAGCCTTATATCACTAATCTTTTTCAACTTAAGCACCTCATAAACACCACAACCTTCAATCCAACATCTCCAAAAAAAATTATTAAATGTGTCTCACTGATAACTCATCATCCATAAATTTCATCAATTTATCATCTAAATCATCTTGGCCCACAGAAATATCATCGACATGCACAGTTGCCACTTGCAGGATATAAGCTTAGGAGCTTTTATAGGCTCCTTGCTCCTACAAGCTACTACTTCCAGTGCTAATGGAAAGGAGAGGCCAAGTTCTTCAATTCTTGGAAGAAATAACGGTATAAATGACTTATTTCTCAGAATTCTCTGTAATCTTCTGATGTATCTAATTTATGCAATTGTATGACTAAATCTCGGATTTGAGAACTTTCTCCTGAGATTGCTCAATACATGTCAGTTATTACTCTTAAATTTCAATGTTTGGTGGCCCAAATTATCTTTTCACCCGGTAGGTGAGAAACTAATCTACGAAGTCAGTGGCGGGTAGAAGTATGGTTGTTATGTCGAAGTTTAGAGAAACAATACAAGCAATTTATTTATATCATATATAGGTAAGAGCACAAAAAATAGAAGAATACACAATTAATACACTCATAACTAACAATCAGAAGTACAGTGGAAATTGGCTTCAGATCACATATATATTATTCTATTTGTTTTTCAAAAACCAATGGAGAAACCTTCATGTGCCGTGGCATATCAACAACGAGGGGAAATGCAGCGGCAGAGCCCCTGAAGGAAGCTTCATGAGCTGCGGAGAAAGCTTTGTCAGGTGCCATGGAGAGATGAAGCAGCAGCAGCAGCACTTTTCAAGTAAAGAAATCTGGTGTTGTTGGCTTGTGGCTAATCGGATAATTAGGGTTATTCAGTTGTGAGTAAAAAGTACTGGGCCTTTTTTTTAAACTACTCATTTATTAATCTTATCTTTATACTGAATGAATTTTATTAATTTTACTATATAAATTATTATTTGTATCAACTATCTATGAAGTTTGGCACTATATTTATTATTTGTTTATTTATTACCAGCTAGTCCAAACCCGGTTCAACCGGTTGAACCGTGACCAGGAGCATGGTTGTCAGAAGCGGGCATTAACTCCTAAGATCCTACGATATTGCACTCACTCAACCGGCCACTGAATTATATCGGTGCAAAGATTGCTGAAGATGAGAGAGCATTCGGTGCGCCAATGAAGATTGTAAACACGTGAAATCAGCAATCTTATTCATTCCAACTTGACCAAAATCAAACCTGTTTGAACCTTCAACCCATGTTCGACCCCGGTTCCACATCACACAAACCAGCCCGTTATGGCCAGAATTCGACCAGACTCTTTTCAAAAATAGGTTTAGCAGTGCCGAAAGTTGTTTTCAACCCTGTTGCTTTTTTATTTAATACTGTATTGGAAATATGGAAATTTCTAATCATTTAATATGAATTTATTCTCATCCAATATGAATCAATCTCTCCCCTTCTTTTATTCCTTTTATAAATTCAAATTACTTTCTTCAACTATTCTCATCTTTAATATTGAAATTCATATCCTATGATTAAATTAATCAAATTCCTCCCCTTATTTTATTCCTTTTTTAGAGTGAATATGTCGCTACTTATGATTAAATTAATGAGAATTTTGTGTTAAGGTTCATTTCACTAGTTATTTATGCAATTTAATCTATTTTGTGGGATCTTAGGATCCAGGTTACAATCCTACATCTAAGCTTTTTCCTTATCAAAATGATCAGGAGGCCACGCTAGTTTGATTTCCGATCCCGTTGCTTTAGTCGTTTCAGTGATACAGAAGACCAAAACATCCAGAGAAAAAAAAAGGGGGGCGAGGGTATTTTTGAGTTTTTGACATGCCATCAATGTAGTTTTGGCCACAATTAACGCGTGTTGACACCGCAATTTGGACCGCTGCACATGCAACCCTAAAATGCCGTGCAATGGCCATTTCCATAGTGCAGATCCTCCGCAACCCAACACTATGGTGCAACTGTGGCCGCTATTGACAACAACATAGAGACTGAGAACCTAATTTTCATTGACTATTAGTGAAAAGACTATAAGTTCGTTAAACAAGTTTTATTAAAATTAGAAAAAGATGTCATAGATATGAAATGAAAACTACAATGGAATTTAAACTCACTTTTCCTCTCAACACCCCAACATATAAACAATAATATTAATAACTATATATACTTACAAATTAATAATACAATGATAACTAAACAAAATATAACTTAACTAATCACAGGAGGAAAATAACTAGTCATTTTCAAGCAATGCAGAAAGTGAAACAAGCATAAAAGGCACTCACAAATTATATTAAGCTGCTAATATCACATTTGCTGCAGTTGAAGTAGTGAGATTATTACCTTTGCAGAACCTCTTGAAGTACTAGTCCTAGACCTTGATGTACCTCGTTTTACAGGACGCTTGCGCTTTTTACTGGACTGATGCAGGTTAACCATAAAAACTATGAATATGTTGCACAAGAAACTATACTTTCTTAGTAAAAGAAATATTCCATAACATCTTGAAGAAAACAATTGAAACACATGAAAGAAAGTAAACCTCTTTTTCTGCAAGTAGCACAGTTGTGGTTGCATGAGGGGCAAGCAAAAAGTCTATCAGCTTAGTAATAACATCTTCCTGCACAGCAGAAATTCATTGGCAATAATAAAGGCGTGTTAAATGGTATCAGTCAACAGGGTTTCCTTTTAGGGCTAGAAAATATATACAGTGCATTATGAATATAAAAAACAGAGATTCTTCATAACCCTTGTGCACACACATAGCAAAGTGTGAACATGTGGCAGGATTAATGTAATAATGTTTCATCCACAACAAGAATATTAGCAATGCTACTAAATTAACAAACCTTTTTTATTGTTGACTTGTTGATTGCTGTTATGTCAAACACATCACAGAATTCCAGTAACTTCTCTTTAAAACATTTGTCTAGCTTTTCTTTTACTTTAAGCATTTGCTTCTCCTGTAGAAACAATATTAGGATTTTACAACCATTGGCAGACAAGGACTTAAAGAAAGGGCAAGAAGTCCGTAAAAAGAAATTACTACAAACACAAATCAACAAAACCCTTCAATTATTTTATGATATAGTTGCATGTTATGAGTATTATATTTGGTACTTTTTGCAGTAATAATTACCTCATTGTCATGCCATACAAAACCAGAAAACCTCAATATATTACTCTTGACCTGAACTGCCTGCAAAGGATTAAAAAAAGAGTCACATGGTGTAACATGAGTCTGAGTTGTCAGTTCCATAACCAAATATCACATAAATATCCTGACCTATAGAGCCACAATGATATGAAAAACAAAAGAAAATCAATAAGGTGGTTTGAAACAGGTGTAACAAAAAGACACGGATATTTAATGAAGAAACGTGTACCTTCCCTCTCCTCCCAAAGAGGATTGTATGAAGCAACTTGAGACTATCATCAGTTTTCCTTCTAGATAACTTATATGCCACTATAGAAGAAAAATGTAGGAGTCATAAGTTTATTAGCTATTCTGAAGAAGCATAGTTACACATCCAGTGTAAGAAATGTAAATAAGAACACTACAAAAAAAACTCCCACGTATTATCAGGTCAACTTCACTTAAATATATATTATATGTTGTAATAGAAAACTCCTGCTATTACTGCTGATCTAAAGATCAATTTGACAGTTCGTTTCTGTTCTACCATTATCTCCAAGTCCTAAGGATTCCAAAATCCAGATTTACAATTGATCTTCCAACAAATCAGTAAAATGACAATAAAAGCATGGATAAACTATATTGAACTAATAAATAATAAGAAACTCTTTTTCCAAAAATGGAAGGAAGAAGATCGAGTATCTCCAAGTTTTGCCACTATTATTAATATCTTTAAATGTACAGTGAGTGAAAAGGAAGATCCACATATTAAATTTTCTATGCATAAAGCAATTTACTGAAGGAAAATTACAGTTAATTAACAAGACAAACAAATCAAATCAAATCAGTGCAAGCTAATGGACTAGTCAATATCATAATCGATGTAAGTGTTTAAGCTGTAAATCAAAATCATAAACTTGTGGCAATCTGATAGTGTTCAAAAAAAGTATTTAAGCATATATCCTTGGCTCAAAAATAATTGAAGGGTCATTGTACAGACAGCTTTAGATATTTAAGCATAATAATCCTTGGCTCGTATGGTATTTGGTACGGGTATGTGGTACAACACTGAAGTATTGGGTGTGTGAGGGTATACACAATCAGTATGTTATTTCGGTTTGAGGTACATTCAAATATTTTTATCGTCACGGAATTAGTGAGCTTTGTGATTGTGGTTATGAGGTATATGCCACGGCTTTGAACAGGTATAACGCTGTCTCATCCGAATACAATCTTGCATCCTTTTGATATTAAAGTTAATACATAAACTTCAGAAACGGTGCATAGAAGGTATAAGGTGCATAGAAGGAAAAAGAAGGCATATGTAGAATTTAAAATTAAGAAATACTATAACATCTGAACTGTTTATTTGATTGGATGGTTGTTATTTGTTCCTCTCATCTCTAACAAAATACGATAGTCATTTCATTTGATATGCCCTCAAAATATATATGTATATATGAGGGAATTAAAAAACCATTACTGATCAAATAAAATAAAAAATCAAAGAGAAGCACCATACCATTGGGTATATCTTTTAAAGGTGTGCCACGACCCTGCAATTTGAAAGGGAAACTGTAAACAAATTAAGTTAAAATAAAAATGCACAGTTAAAGCTAATTACTTCAAATGTGACATTGAAAAACAAATACCTTCTCAATGTGTAATTCTTTGCTCGTCTCTTTATCAATTATTGCTACCAACCTCTCAACTGATTTCCTTTCTCGAACTGGACGATCACTTGTAGGAGTCTTAGGCTCTAGCTGTTTCAGTTCCTTTCTTTTCTCCTTCACTTTCTCCTCGTTAACCTTCCCTCTCGCACGCTTTCTTGATCCTTTCTCACCCTTACTACCCTCTGACTTATCTTCTTCTTTTGATTTATCAATACCGTCCTTGTCATCCTCCTCCTCCCGCTCCTCTTCCGTCTCTGCTTCAGTTTTCTCCTTTTCATCACCCTCTTCCTTCTCCACTGTCTCTGCTTCAGATTCCTCCTTTTCATCACCCTCTTCCTTTTCCTCTATCTCTGCTTCAGTTTTCTCCTCACCATCGCCCTCTTCCTTCTCCTCTATCTCTGCTTTGGTTTTCTCCTCTCCATCGCCCTCTTCCTTCTCCGCTATCTCTGCTTCAGTTTTCTCCTCTCCATCGCCCTCTTCCTTTTCCTCAATGCTACCCTCTGTTTCCATCAAATCTGCTTCTTCTTTTTCAGATTCAATTTTTTCCTTTTCTTCTTTACCTTCTGTAGTTTCCTTAACCTCAGTATCGACATCCATTTCCTCATTCTCAGATTCAGTAACATTTTTGTCATCCTCTTCTATTTCTTGTATGTCATCATCTTTCTTATCCTCCACTGCTTCTTTCACACTACCAACTTCCATATCCTCTTTTACATCTTCATCTCCATTATCTTTCTTTTCCACCTCTACTTCCTCGGCAACATCGATTTCCTTATCCTCTTTTATTTCTTCCACCCCACCATCTTTTGTAGCCTCCTTTACTTCTTCCACCTCACCATCTTTTGTATCCTCCTTTACTTCTTCCACCCCTTCATCTTTTACTTCTTCCACCCCTTCATCTTTTACTTCTTCCACCGCATCAACTTTCTTATCCTCTTTTTCTTCTTCCACCACATTATCTTTTACTTCTTCCACCCCATCAACTTTCATTTCCTCTTTTTCTTCTTCCACCGCATCATCTTTCTTATCATCTTCTACTTCTTCAGCCACATCATCTTTCTTTTCCTCTTTTACTTCTTCAGCCACATCCTCTCTCTTATCATCTTTTACTTCTTCAGCCACGTCCTCTTTCTTATCATCTTTTACTTCTTCAGCCACATCCTCTTTCTTATCATCTTTTACTTCTTCCACCGCATCATCTTCTGTCACCTTTTTTACTTCATCAGCATTATTATCTTTCTCATCCTCTTTTACTTCCCCCACCCCATCATCTTTCTTATCCTCTTTCACTTCCCCCACCCCATCATTTTTCTTATCCTCTTTCACTTCCTCCACCCCATCATCTTTCTTATCCTCTTTTACTTCTTCCACTATACCTGCTTTCTCATCCTCTTTTACCTCTTCCACATCAACGGCTTTCTTATCCTTTTCAATTTCCTTGAGTCCATTACTCTCCAAAACTTTCCCTCCATCAGTTTCCAAATCTTTCTTTTCAACAACTTCATCTAACGTCTTGGCCGCAATGCTACCGCCATTTGAACCAGTCTTAGCAACTTCAGTCACTGGTTCTTCCTCTCCCATACCAATCTTATTCTAATATCCCTATAAAATTACTTTACACAGGCGCACTCTCCGCAACAGTCTGTTCAATCCAACAACTGAAGCCAACCCACAGATAACAGAAATCATTTAGAATATGTACAACAACCAGCATAGTACAAAGAACGAAGGGAAATAAGAAGATACTAAAAAAGTGCTAAGCTTCCATAGAACATAAAAGTAAATCTTATATGGCTACAGTGGAAGGGTATTTCAATTTAAATCACAATCAACAATTTGAAATATTGAACCACAATGAGCCAAATTACCTTCTAGCCCTTACAACAATGGTAATAACAAAATGAATATATTTACCTCATGTTACAACAAGACCATGAAAATTAACCCCAACCACAAATCAAACAAAGCAATGCAATTTGCAAAAAGAAAAAATCAAACATAATCTATGAAGCACATGCAACGGAAACAAGACACCGACACTAACCCGTCAACACCAATAATAATTTGAAAAAATGAATAAATTAAACATAATCTCAAGTGTTGATGTCAGTTTTGGACACCGACACTGACACACTTTTTTCAGAGGTGTCTGTGCTACAGAGAAAATAATCATAATATTTAGCTGGGGTACAGGAATAATTAAGCAGCCAAAAAAAAGCCTCAATTTAGAATATTATGTTTGCATTAACTCCATAAAAGAAAAAAAAACTCACAATAACCCTAATAAAGATCAATCCTAAACATGCGATTCCAAAAAATACTCAACAGTAAAGCCAGAAACTACCTTCGATACATCATAATATTCCATATTCACACACTAAGAAAACCAAATATTCGAAAAATAAACCAAAATAATCAAATTAAAACAACGAAAGTACCAAATTTTCCTTTGGAAATTTCTCCAAAATTCAAAGCCCTAAAAACTCTCGACCTCAAATCCCCAACGTCACAAACCAAAATACCAAAAAAGACACAAACTTTGAAAACCAAAACGGTGCGTTTCATAGGAATTTCATAGAAAACCAAACAAGAAGAGTTTCAAAACTTACAGATTCAGAAATCGTCGGAGAAAGATCAGAGCTTCTTCACACTTTCGCGAATGATTATTTTCTCTCTCTCTTTCTCTGTACTGACAGTAACAAAAAGTGTCGGGGTTATTTTCGACTATTTATAGTTCGGACTTCAAATGCGGATTTTAAATCGAATTTAGTTTACACGTAAGAGATGTACGTCGTTGAAATTTGGATCGGATGGATGAGATTTGTTTTTTGTGATGTACGTGTGGAATTGACGGTTGTGATTTGATATTCCATGCGTTGTGTTGTGCATGTTTTGTGAGGGTTATTTATTAAATTGTGTTTTACTATCCTTGTTTGGATTTGTGTTTTTTTGGTAGGTTGAAGTTCATATCAGTGTAATAAATATACTAAGGTAAAAGAAATTGTTAGGGACCAATTATGGAATTAAGAGCTCGTTTATTTAGTTTTTTAAAAAAAAAATTTATACTATTATATATTTTTAAAGATTGTGTTTTTTTTATAGTAAAAATAGCTTTTATTTTTAAATCAGATCAAGTAAAAAACCCGATCAAAGTTTCAGGCTAACCAAAACAATAAATAGACTTAGTCCAAATAAGACTAACACAGCAGACTGAATCATCTACAAATCATAATCTAATACAATATATCACTAATCTTTTAACTAGTTCAGCTCTCTATTTCACAATATCAATAACGTTTGAGCTTCGTAAACTTCTCGTTGCTCTATTTTGGAATGTCATCAGGTTCATAGTTGTCCAAATTGTATAGTTTGCTTCAATCATAATAATCTTCAACAATCGAGCTTTACATCTTCTACCTCTAGTATGTTGACATAATCACTGCAATTTTGAATCTCACTTACCAAATTTGTAGTTGGTGACAATCCCAAATTTAAATAATGTGTCTTTAGTTGGTAAGCCACAATAGACACATTTGTCGTTGGTGACAATCCCAAATTTAAATAACATGTCTTTAGTAGGCAATCTTTCATGACAAGTCAGACATAAAATAAAGATTGATCTTGGTATCGCCATATTATCAAAGAAAAGCTTCCTCCAATACATCTTTGGCTTAATGAACAACTTATGCACTTATTTTGTCTCATATTTATCAGAAGACTAGAATATCCTCCAAACTGCGGATTGAACAAGGATATTGTAACGCGGTGGGAGAACTGCCTTGGTTGTTTTGCGTTTGATTGTAAATGTTACGGTTAGCAAGAGTCGCTACCGACTTTCTTTTATCCAAAAGGAAATGCTGAAAAGAACAAGAAAGACCTTTGAGATGTTTTCTTGAGTTCGGGGGGTAGATTATGAAAAGGGAATGTATTAGCACCCTTTTCATCCGTAGTTATCTACGGGCTCTTAGTTACTTGCTAGATCACTTGCTTTTGTTTGAAGATGTACTTTGTGTGGTTTTTGAAAGTATTTTGAAAAGGCGTCATTGTTTAGGCAAACTTTGTAATGATTCTCGTTCGTAAGAATGTATACAAAGTGTTGATCTTTTGAAAAATGTTTTCAAGTTTGAAAGATATTTTTAAAAGTGTTGGTGTTTGTTTTGAAAATAGCAAGGATGTTTTTTATTTGAAAATGAGCAAGCGACTAGGAACATTCTACCTACTCAAAAGTCTTTCATGTTTATTTCCTCTTTCCTTTGATATTGTTATCTTACCATTGATTTGGTAAGAAACTCTATCTTTGGATGTAAAGGGACGGGTGTAGGTCATTGTATAGCCGTGATTAGCAATGTTGTAAGATATCTTAGCATTTCCTTTGGGGACTAAGATCATTTTTGAAAGGCAACTTTGATAGCGTCATCGAGGGACTATGATCTTGTATTTTTTTATCGTTTTTGCTAAGATACCTCACATGCATAATATGGCTATTTTCATAAGGCAACCAAGTGGATTTATCCTAAGGGTGTAAATGTGCAAGTGTATTGATTTACATGCATTATTTTATCTTTGAATTAGGGTTTTCTAAGCATTGGTTTTATCTTTCCATACAAACCCTAATTACTAGCAATAATATTGAAAGCGGTAAATTGTAGAATTTAAATGTCCTACGCTATTACAACGCTTTAGAAGACGAGGGTACAAGTTTATGAATGAGGATGAAAATAATAAACCCTAAATTACTATTACAAAATTTGACAACAAATGCATAGTCACAAAATAATATAAAAGAGTGAATAAATTAGCAAAGATGGAAAAAGGGCTAAGTATAAACCCTACCAAAGTTCTAAATATTTTAAGAAAGAAAATGTTTTTGTTTGTTTTTTATTTGAAAAAAGAAATTGAAATTTTTAATGTAAGGAAATTAGAAGTTAAATCCTAATTCTATTTTATTTACAAATTAATAAATAAATAAAAAATAAAGGTGTAATAAATTAATTTATTTATGAAAATAAATTAAAACCTAAAGCATTCTAGATATTTTAGAAAATATTGTTTTTGGAATTTTTGTTTAGGAAAATATATTAATGTAGTGTAAAAAAAAATCTAGTTCTAATTAATTTAAACAAATTAATAAAATAAATCTAAAGTGTGATTAAAATAAATTAATTTTATTTGTGAAAATAAATTAATTAATTTTAAAAAAAAACTTAAATCTATATATTTTATGATTTTATGATTTTTTTGATTGAAAATAAAAATGATTAAATAAAAATAATTAAATGAAATAAGAGAGAGAGAGAGAGAGAGAGAGAGAGAGAGAGAGAGAGAGAGAGAGAGAGAGAGAGAGAGAGAGAGAGAGAGAGAGAGAGAGAGAGAGAGAGAGAGAGAGAGAGAGAGAGAGAGAGAGAGAGAGAGAGAAAACAAAAATGTTTTAGGCATGTATGCAAAGAGTAAACACGGGGGTGAGTGTTAGCAAAACAAAGCTAAGCCCAATGACCATGCTGGCCCAAGCGCCTGTATTATAATCCAGTGTGGGTGGTCTTTTAAGGGTCCATCAAAGTGGAAGCATATAGTGCGCTGGATCTGACTTGATGAAGATCAGAGTGTTGATTGGGGGTATATCATGCGCGTGTAGAAGCTGCCTCTACAAGATCTGGGGCTCGAACTCAGGTCTCTATAGTCACAGACGCGCGCTTCTACCACTGGGATGGCTATACATCTGTTTATTAATACAAAACCAATATATATATATATATATATATATATATATATATATATATATATATATATATATATATATATATATATATATATATATATATATATATATATATATATATATATATATATATATATATATATATATATATATATATATATATATATATATATATATATATATATATATATATATATATATATATATATATATATATATATATATATATATATATATATATATATATATATATATATAAAACACATTCCTAGGTCTGTATCATCTTCAACCTCGCGCCAGACCATTCAACATGATTTTTTGAAATTGCTATCTCTTTCATTTCTCAAGCATTTTCAAAAGTACAAACATGAAAGTTGCTGGAAATTTCATCACGAATTCAACCATGTAAATAACTTAAGCTAACACTCAAAGATGAACATGAATTTTAAATGGTACCAAATTTTGACCTAATTTTTTCAGAGATTCAAACTTAAAATCCTCTAAGCTCAAGCAATATAAATGAAAACTATGGACATGGTTAGCTTTAGGGCAATGATATATACATTTTTCATTCACAAATTAACCATTAATGATGCCTATATGAAGAGTTCAAAAGTCAAAAAACTCACTTTGAAAATGGAATTCGTGTTTTGAATTAGAGCTGCTTTCAAAGTGTTTTGATGATTGGGTTAGCTTCCTTGAACCTCCAGGAAGCTATTGTAAAGCTTACTTTGTGCTGAGAGTTCTTGAATCAAGCTAAAGAAGTCAATATGAAATGCCCTGTTTTTGAAAATAGAGGATGGTGCAGATGGTATTACAGTTTGAAAACAGGGGTTGGGATAGCTTATATATGTGTATTATAAGCTTTGTGGATGGTTTGGCTAAGAAACGCACGAGGAGATTTGGAGATTGGATTCAAAAATCAGAAATGACAAGTTTTTGTGCTTGTATGGCAATTTCTGGTTTTTGGGAGTTTAAGGGCTTGTATATGCATCTGTTTTGATGCAAAAAACTTGTGTATAAGTAAGGAGAAGGTTAGAGTGCTTGAGAGAGTCAAAAGTACAAGATATAGACTGATTGTTATGTTACTTAATTTTGAAGAAAAGTGGGAATATGGTTTCAAGGCATAGTACAAGCATGGCTGAGTTCTTTAGAGGCTTTAGACAAGTTTATTTTGGGTTATAGATTATGTATGATCAGAAGAGAACAAGTGCAAAGCTCAAGAACTGATTTTGTGCATAAAGCTACTTTTCAAATGTGGCAATGTGCACTTTCTTCCTAAAATGGAAATAAGCATGGGCAATGCATTGAATGCTTGAGTTGAAGCCTCTAGCAGTTGTGCCAAACATTAATTATTGAGTGCTAAGCAAGTTTGAGGCCTGCAGAGCAAAGATTGTGCAGCCTAGCATGGATTTGAATTCTTGTTCATCATGAAAATGACCTATAATTCAAGAATGAAATGCCAACTTCATGCCTTCGATTCTCCTTGCTCAAACATGATCTCAAGGAGTTCTTGGATATTTTAGAAAGTTTTTAATGTGCTCTATAACCCCTCTTTGAATCACTTTTGAAAATTCCCCTTGGAACTATGTGAAAAATTGCCATGAAGTTAGGCCAAAATCCTGCCTAAACTAGGGCAAAATTTTCACTAAGTGTTTAGTTTCATGAGCATGTATTCACAAAATCATAACTTGAAATACATGCATTTCTAGGAGAAGTTGTGTAAAGAAATATTTTATATCTCATTTAGATCTACAACTTTCATGTTGAAAGTTTCCTTTGAATCATCTTGCATCATGGTGAAAAATTGGCTCAAAGTTGTGAAAAAAATATGAAGTTTTCAACACTTAGAAAAATTTCTAAGTTTGGAAAATTTGATTTTGGATTTCTTGATGAACAAGTTTCATATTTTTACATGTTTTGATGAATTGAGATCTTTGACACTTGATTTTGACCAAAAAGTCAAAGTTTGACTTTTCACTGTATTAGTTGACTTTTGATCAGTTGACTGAAAATCAAATATCAATCAATTTATCTTGAGGGAAGTTTTGGGTCATGCCATTAGGTCAAAAATGATGCAATTGAAACCTTGAGATCATGTCTCAAACAAATTAACCATTTGCTAGGTCAAAAATCAGAAATTTCCCTTTCCTAGTCAAAACCCTAATTTTGA